AGATTACACGCAGAAAGCCCATCTTGCCAGTTAGCATTGCTTTTGAACACCAAAGAAAAACACTAATGGAAAAGGAATTGCCTAAGCGGTTGTAAAGGTTGAATAAGGTCTGTACATGAGTGAATTCCCTTTATGTACAACTGAGACAGGTAAAGTCCAGTAAAATCAACATGTGGTTTGGACTCCTGCACTGTTAATAGACTGATCAAGATTTGTATCCCCTGTTTGAAGTGGTGATTCCCACCCACACTGTGGTTTCAAGGCTGTGGTCAGAGGTCCACAGCGCCTTTCAGCAGGTTCTGGGTTCAGGAGTGGCAGATACCCTGTCCTTGCAAGGGGTGTCTTTACCCTTCCTACATCCTGGTGTAGTTTGCTTGATTATGTGTGTTGAAGGAAGGGAGGGGATTTGAGACCTCAGCCCTACTGCTTCTTAATGTTTTGTTGTAAAACAAAGCAAATGAGCATTTCAGCATTGTTGCAAGAACCACAAATTTGGAAGTGCTTTACTTCCTTTGACGAAGACGGTTCTTGTAAAGTGGGGAGGTGTTTCATGTCACATGGGTATATATCTTTTAAGAGCTCTGAAGCAAATGCATGTGAGTAACTGAATAATCTGAAGAACGATATTCTAAGCAGTAACATTCCTTCTGTCCCTTAGGAGCATAAATCATGCACCTACCTCTTTACCTGTTTCTGAGAATGACTCTTTATGTGAGGAAAAAACTAATTTAGGGAGTGTTCTTTCAGATAGTAAAGAATACTAGAAAAAAAAAAAACTACAAGAGATTAGCTGATACTGCACAAACAGAAACAGAGGAGAGAGGAGGCCAAGAAGGAAATGTACTTGGACTCTGTTCAGTAGAAGCTGCTGCTTAGCTCAAGTGTCCCTGTCTGTGCTGAATTCCATTTTTCAGCTAAATAGGTAATGATTTATCTCTTGGTTAAATTTATACGATTCCACTAATAAGACGAAGGTAAGTATGCAAAGTATACTGACTGTAGTTGATTAAAATTATGCCCCAAATTTTTATATCCTACCTAATTCTTTAACTTGTGTGTACATAACCTTAGGAAAATGATCAGATGAACTCTCCTAGATTTAGTGTTCGTCATAAATGAAAAGGGGAAAGTCATGATGAAGGTGAGTTCAAACCATGCTTCTCCTGTGGAGTGCATGTGAGATTGCTGTTTAGTTTTGGCTGAATTGATTGTACCTATACACACTAAGGGGTGATCAGAGATCTTTAAATCCTGCTCCTGTGGACTACTGAACCACCAAGAGGTGATGACTGCTGTCTGAATGAAACTCCTCTAACCCTCAATATGAGTGTATCCGTGTTATTTCTTGACATGTTCTGCCAATTTATTTTTGAAGTCCTCAGAGATGTTCAGTAGAGGCATTACAACTGAAGCCCGCATTGCTGTATCAGGTATTTGATGTAGGCAAGAAGAAGCTGTTATTTATACCTGGTGAATTATCAGATATTCAATTAAAATACAACCAAAACCCTCTTCTAGTGTAAAGGAAGCCAGGTTTTTATAAAGATAATCAAACACCTTTCAGTTTAAACTGTTGCTAATCAAAACACAAAATCACCATGTAAATGTAGATGTGTGATATTTGGAAGGAGAGAGAATAAAGGATTTTACAGTCTGCAAAATCATGTGTTTCTTCCCTCTGAGGT